GTAGGGAAAACCATGAACTGACCTGTCTCAGACTAGGGAGATTGGTTTAGAGTGAGGCTCAAGAACTCAAGACTCTTGGGCAGAGAGCTAGAATCAGTGCATAAAATCGACCCTAAAAAATAGCCACACTTTATATCAACCACAATTACTGTTTACAACAGAGTAAGCTCTGTTCTCTGAAGTCTAAAGTTACTCAGATTTAGCCGGGACGTACCTTCCATATTTGTTTGCTTCATGACCAACATTTATTTCCCTAGTTTACACCATAAAATACTAACATATTATCACTACAAACATGGAATATTATTTGTCATAGCCTACTATCCTTAGTATCAGCCAAATATTTGGTGCAGGACTGAAGACACAAGATGCTTGTATCTCATATTTCTGTCTAGGTCTGTCTGGTTTGGGGGAATTGTTGCTTTCAGCAAAGTGTTAATGATGAAGAAATACTCATTAGTAATGGCGCAAGATAAAAGAAATGGTATTCAATGTGATTCTGGAGGGAAAGAATGATACTGAAAATTTTTTTCTTTATTGCCTGCAGAGGAGAAGAAAGTAAAGAGCACTAAAGTGGAAGCAAAAGTTAAAAAGGAAGTGAAAGATGGAAAAGGAGAAGCAAAGATGACTGAGAAGGTCAAGCAGGCAGAGACTAAAACAACAGAAGTTGGGCTAATAAAGACCAAACCAAAAGTTAAGGAGGAGAAAGCTCTTCAGACTGTAACTAAAGCGGAAAAGAAAGGTAAACAAAACCAGGAGGAAGCAGATGAAGATCTTTAGAAGGTAGTAGGAAAGAAGCAGAGAGAATGGAGCTAAAGCTGGCAAAGACCAAAGCCCACTCATGAAAAAGAAAAGTGCAGTACAAATAATTTCCAGATGAATCTTGGACCAATAGAATGAGTCTACCAAGAATAAAATAAGTTTAATTTAAATAACCGGAAAGTTCTAACTGTTTGTCCTGGCTAATGATTCATTTTAGTTTAAATTCCTTTTTACCAAGGACCAATTTCTCTTCAGATAGGCTTAAGTCTTCATGGATTTGCTCAGTAGAATGTTACACAGTGTATTGCTAGTAAAGATATTTTGGAAAATATAGACTGTTCAATGACCTGTTGGGAATTATATCTTGTATCTACATCTGCATATGTCCTCAGTAACAATAGAAAAGTAGCAGCAGAGAAAAAGGAATGTAATAATTTGTATTACATCAGTTTATATGAGATGTTGTCACATTGTCAGGTATTGTATGACGTAGTGATGCATAGTGATCCTGGAGTGTGTGGAAGATAACTTCCTGACACAGCTGGTGAAGGAACCAACAAGGGAAGGTGCCCTGCTGGACATGCTGTTCGTAAATAGAGAAGCTCTTCTGGGGGATGTGATGGTTGGAGGCTGTCTTGGGCATAGTGATCATGAAATGATAGAGTTTTCAGTCCTTGGAGAAGCAAGGAGGGGGAGCCAGCAGAACTGCTACTTTGGACTTCTGGCAGGCAGACTTTGGCCTGTTTAGGGAATTGGTTGGCAGAGTTTCTTGGGTCGCAGTTCTGAAAGGCAAAGGAGTCCAAGAAGGCTGGACACACTTCAAGAAGGAACTCTTAAAGGCACAGGAACAGGCCATTTCTGTGTGTCGGAAAACAAGCTGGCAGGGAAGAAGAAGGAGCATCTCCCTTATGAGGAGCGGCTGAGGGAGCTGGGTCTCTTTAGTTTGGAGAAGAGGAGACTGAGGGGTGACCTCGTTAATGTTTATAAATTTGTAAAGAGCAAGTGTCAGGAGGAAGGAGCCAGACTCTTCTCAGTTACAGCCAATGACAGGACAAGATGGAAATGGGTGCAAGCTGGAGCATAGGTGGTTCAATCTGAATATGAGGAAAAACTTTTTTACTGTAAGGTTTACAGAACACTGAGAGAGGCTGCCCAGAGAGGTTGTGGAGTCTCCTTCTCTGGAGACATTCAAAACCTGCCTGGACGCGTTCCTGTGCAATCTAGTCTAGGTGATCCCGCTCTGGCAGGGGGGTTGGACTGGATGATCTTTCAAGGTCCCTTCCAACTCCTAATATTCTGTGATTCTGTGTGTGATCTGTCTGATGTAATTTGATGTGATCAGCTTCCTTATTTCTCCTAAAAAGGAAAGCAATACCATTACCCTGGTGAAAGGAAGAAATTCAGTGATAAGGAAAGAATCAATATGCATCAGCACTAAAGGAATGTGTTAACTACATGTCTCTCCAGAGCCAGCCTGGGTTCTTTCACTCCCAAGTTGCACTCACTGGTCCCTTGATTTCCCTGTGGCTCTTCCACAGTGTTAGGTACAATTGTGTATGAATGAAGGCAGCAGGACCCAGCTCTCTGAACACATTGCCATGCTGCAGGCACAGGATTATGCTCACATTAGTAGAGGCAGCTCAGTGCTGTGTGGCTCACCTATCTGATCCTTTCAGCTGATAACCACAGATAAATCCTTATGCCTGAGCATCAAAGCAGCCATCCTTGCCTGGATATCTGAATCTGCAGAGGCAGATACTCTCAGAATTTCATAGCCAGAATTTCAGCTCTGGACTCCTTAGGAGTTGCCTGAATTACCTGTTTTTATAAATCTGAAAGGAGAGATTTTGAGACATAGCTCACTTTCTGACATACATAGTGTGCTGAACCAGGGTTGAGGGTTTTTTTAGCATTTATTTGTATTCTCATTAATTTTGTTTTTTCTTGAAATACTTGAGCCTTTGAGGCATAAAATCAAAGCAGCTTCTTTCATGCTGATTGCTGTGACCAAAGGAAAAGTTCTGCAAATTGTTGAGCTCCTCTTAGGAGGTGCAAATCTCTTTCAGTTTTTGTTTGCTCTGAAAGAGTTTCAGTGCACAGTGGGATCCACTCCACACTGTTCAGGATAAGGCTCTCGAAAGCCATGGTGTGCAGATGAGGTACTTTACTCCCTGGCAGCAAAATATTTTACAAAGTGGTCAAAGATTACACAGAGAGCAAGAGAGTAGTGGTGGGTTTTTGTGTGTTGGTTTGAGTTTTGTAGGGTTTTTTCCCCTGTTTTAGCTAACAAATATTAGCAAAATGATCCATCTTAACATCAAACATTAACAGATCACTTTGTAAGCCTGCTTTAGAGTGTGACCCCAGTGGCTGTGCATTGAACCCTGGCAGGTGAAAGAGGGAATGAGCAGCTGGAGTGGAGGAAAGAAGAAGCCTCTTAAGCTGCCCTTATCACTGAAGATAAGGCTACACACATTTAGTGAAAGCTGCCTTTTCTGCTTTCACCCTTCCTTTTTCCACCGTGAGTTGCTGCTGCCCAGCCGCATACTCTCAGAAAATTCAGTTGATGTTTCAATCTCACTGTCATCCAAGGTGAACACAATTTTGAAGTCTATATCGTTTTCCCAAGATTTCCTGATCCTGCAATCCTTACTTTTCCTTGTTCATGAGAGTAGTTCTGACAGCTTTTCTCCAACAATGTAAAAAAAAAAAAATGATAGTAATCATAGAAGGGTTGCTGTGATGTCCCTGCTGTTGCATCATTAGACTAGATGATCTTTTGAGGTCCCTTCCAGCTCTTAAGATTTTGTGATTCTGTGATTCCACAATCAAAATTAAAAAACATAGGTCACATCCTGAGGTAAATCACATGAGGTCCAATGACAGAATTATCTATGACTGCTTTTTTCAATAAGAATCTAGTCCCAAACTTTGATGTGTTTCATTAGTACACAGATTAATATTTTTGTCACTGTTATATAGTTGTAAAGTAAAACTACAGTGTGAATTGCTCTTTTTAACAAAAGAGTTTAAATTAAAATGAATTTTTAGCCATGAAGAGACATCTGGAAAAGCATATTAATTTAAAATTCTTTATGTTTCGATCTTTGCTGATTGGCAGAATTCTCATGAACTTCAATGGGATGTTACAGTGCACCTTATTATTTCATATACAGTAGAAATGTTATTTTTGGTATTCAGAGTTTAACATTCTGCCTTCAATATTTTTTATAAATCCCAGTTTTCAGGGGTTGAGTTGCTTTAGAAAGCCTATGAGGAGAAGATTAATATGAAATCTTTCTTCTCTGGTACAATCAAGGCTCTTTTTTTTTTTTTTTTTTTTAAGTTTTTAAGGACAAGACCTGTGCTTTGCTATTTGGGCTAAAGCTTAGCTTTCTGGGCTAAAGAATTGGTATTACTCCATTTTATTTATTAATACTCACTGAGGCCCTGTTTGCAAGTGCACTGAAGTCAGTGCAAACACTGCTGATTTCAGTGGCTTTAGATGGGCTTACTGAGGATATGGATTTGTACATACTTGTTTTCTTACACGTATGCTGCTACTTTTTTCAGAAATTAGCACACGGATTTAGGGCAGATATTGCAGCCAAATTCTTTAGATTCCTTAAGTATGGAATCCAAAGCTGGACCCAGCCAGAATGACAGATTTGAATTATTAAATATGCAAGTACAAACTATTACGAGTAGTTATTAATTTTTTAAAAGCAATGTTCATAACCACAGCCCTGTGTATGTCCTGAAAGGTTCTCCTCAGGTTCTGCAATATTGACTAGTATTACCCTCACCACCTCAGTAACAGCAAACAGCTGCATGGGCTTCTATTGCAGAAACAATTGATATTTGCTGAGCTTGTCAACCCCTTCCTATTTTCCACAACATAGGAAATCATTACTTGAAAGCTGAAGTTCTCTACCCAAGGACTTCTATGGCAGTCAACATAACAAAGCAGCAATTACATAAATGCCTCAGCATCAACTAAACTTGATGCTCCAGTGAACTAAAAAAGAAAGCAAACAAGACTATGAGTGTTATATACTTGGGAACATGAGTTTCCATTTAAATACAGTAGTTATGCCATTGTTAAAATTTTAAGTATCCCAAAGTCTGCATAATTTTGTTTTGAAGTTGGCAAAGAGAAAGTAAGTGGCTTTGTCAGTGAGTAGGAGAGAGATGCAACTGGAGGTGGAGAGAGATATAAATTCTATAGCCTAAAAAGTGTGCTAGAACAGTCTAGGACAGACGGATATGTTTAATTCAGAGACTGCTGTGAACTAATTTAGCTAACCAGAGTTGGCACTTAGACATCAACATTAAGTTTCAAAGCGAATGTCCCTCAGAGTCCATTGGACAATGTGTTTTTTTTCTGGCCGGCTGGAGAATCCAGCAATATTGCAATTCTTTTGCACTCAGTTAAAACTGGCAACTTTTCTTCACTGTTCTTGAGGACAGAAATCTTATCAAGGTCTTCAACTCTGCTTATGTATAGAAGAAATCAATAGGCAATCAACATTTTTGAAATCAGGGTTTCATTTAGATTCAGAAGCCTTAATTTCTGAATAGCATAGTTTTAATATATATTCAGTTTTAATATATACATATATATATATTTGTAAAGAATGGTGTTTGGAAAATAATTCTATAGTGACATGATAAAATTATGTGGAAAATGTCATTGTTACAGGAGTGTAAGTACACAGAGTTCTGTTTATATTCCCATTCACTAAATGTACCTATTGCTTATACTGTTAAAACGATATTAACAAAATACTGTGATATAAAAGTTTATTGAATTTTCTGTCACCTGGCTGTGACTATTCGAAATGAATCTTGAAGGATAAGAAAAAGTCTTTGGGACCTGTAGGCAGGCAGCAGCTTGCCCAGTACTTGTGTGTGGGATCAGGACGTGTGTCAAAACCAAGGCCGCACACTGCTGACCTGGGGTACACACTGTCCTGCCAGCACAGAAGAGCTGGTCGTTCCGGGGCAGTGAGAGCTGGTAATTCTGAAGTTCTTGGCTAGGAGGCTTGAATTAGATTTGGACAATAAATTGTCTCTTTCTGAACATGTGAATTATTTGAAGGTCAGGAAAAGCCAAAACGTACATGTAAAAATGACCCCGAAATGTGTCTTTGCACTGCCAAGTTTGTCCTCACTGTTAAATAGAAACAAAATTCTAAATTTATTTTCTTCATTACTCTTTTTTTTCCTTTTTGCTCTGTTAGATCAATATGCATTCTGTCGCTATGTGATTGACATGTTTGCGCAAGGGGAATTTTATCCAGGTACTTTCTTACTTCATTGAAATCTGTTCTAGTATTAGAAGCTTCTGTTTCCCTGAGTTTCTGCTCCTTTATGTATTTAAAGTGTGTTTTGTACTGTTGAAAGTTCTCACAAATGCAACAAAGAGTGTGCAAATAGTTTTAATAAAGCATAAGAGCTAATGGCTGTATTATTAAAGCTTTTAATTTTCTGTCTACAATGCATGAATTAAAATTAAGGTTTTCTCAATGGAAGATTATAAAGTCTAAAAACTGCTACAATTTGCTGTGCTTTTTTTGGCTGAGATGCAAGAGGAAGGAGCTTATTGTTAATAATTTATTTTGTCCCCATAAATAGCAAGCCTTAAACTCAGAAATCTTCAAAAATAGAAGTGCCATTGTTGTTCTTAGTATCTACAATATTTTAGCTGATCCATAAGTTCTGTGCTTTATCTTCTCTCTTCCTCCATCTTCATGTTCATCTGTTCTAACACAGACACTTAATTCTTAGCAGAAAAAACCCCAAAAACTAGAGCTACTGATGATGACTGAGCATTGTCTCATAAGTTAAAGTCAATATCCACCTTGACCATATTTAATGGACACTCTTCCTTCTGAAATCCAGTACAAGAGGACATCCTACACTTACATAATCCTAGGAGTGATAAGCAACAATATTTATGAAAAGACTCAAGGATAGAATGTTTAAGGATGCACTAAGCCTTACAAGCTTTATTTAATCAGTTATCTGCTCAAGAATCTCTCCACTGGTACTTCTCTGAACTGGATGTGTTTTTTTATCTCTGCCTTTTATCTTAGGTCCTCTTTTAACATGCCCAGATCCAGTCAGAGCTGGGAAGCTATAACAATGTACTTGAGAAACTCTCAAAATGGGGACAACAAGGACAGATTTTTGAGGGAAAATCGTAGAATCATTATGGCTGTAAAAGATGTTTAAGATCATCAAGTGCAACCATGCCTCTACCATGCCCACTTCTAAACCATGTGCCTGAGTACTATATCTAGTTGGATTTTTAATATATACAAGGATGGTGATTCAACCACTTCCCTGGGCAGTCTGTTCCAGTCTTTGATAACCTCTTCAGCAGAGAAGTTTTCCCAATGTCCAACCTAAACCTCCCCTGGTGTAACTTCTCACCATTTCCTCTTTTCTGATTGGCTGTAACTTGTGAGAAGAGACCCACACCCACCTCTCTGCAACCTCCTTTCAGGTGGTTGTAGAGAGCAATAAGGTCTCCTCTCAGCTTCAGATTTTGGAGGGAGTTTGTATGGCCTGTTCTCAAAGAATGGTATGGAAAGATAGGTGGCCCCATTAAAAGAGAGTATATTATATCACCTCTAGGACTTTTAAAGACAGCCAGTCATAAACAGATAGACTGCTCTAAGCTCAGAGTGGGAGAAAGGTTAACAAAACCTTCCAGAAACCTTCAGTTATGCTCTGATTAAAAAAAATAGGCCCCTGTACCAGATGTGATTCACCCAGTTTCTGGCTTTACACAGCTGTGCCATTGATAAATCACAACACAAAGACACGATGGAGATCTTCAAGATCTCTGTTAGCATTCTTCTGAGATTTGCAAGCAGCCTTGATGGGTTAGAGCCCTTCTTCCAGGTGTCTCCCTGGGCTGTTTGACACTCTCCAAAGGCAGAGCAGACATGTGGTGGACAGGAAGTTTTGAAGAAGATGGCTTTACAGTTTTGACCTTTCCAGGTATAAGGAAACTAGGAAGACCATGAAGGGAAGCAGGGGGAACAGGGAGATATAGAGGGATTTCTTTCATTATTTGAATTTCAGAAGATAAAAGACATCACTGTCTGCTCTTGCCGCCCAATGCTTGCCTTGTGTCATTTCAATGTGCTGTGACAGAGCTGTCCTAAGAAACCACAGATTCAAAATAGGTGAACTAATGTTTGATGACCCTTGGGTGATCAGTTGGCCTTACAGGTGAATAACCAGGGTGACAGCCTGAGGCCCAAAAAAATGGAAATAAGTCACAAAAAATCTAATTTGTAGGTGAAAAGGAAGAGGATAGCCCCTCAACTTAGGGTTTCCAAAAGTCCACCAGTGGCTTCATCTGTAAAGCAACTGCTTTTGGACTTGCTAAGTCATTTTTTGACATCTGAAGTTAAATGCTGCAAATAGTTGTGATGGAGCCTGATACATATTTGTCAGAGATAAAATAAAGCATTGCCTTCAAAACAAGCTTTAGACAATCCACAAGCTGCAGAAAACATTACAGGCCTGGTACACTCGGCTCTGCTCTCTTTATAGAAATCAACGTGAAGAGTGCCACCAAGCACTGCTCAGTGTTTGTTAATTCCTTTCTCAGGCAACATGCTCATTTCACACTGACCTTGGTGAACCGACATATTACGATAATTCACTTTCTTAAATAGGTAAATGTGGGGAAAACACCAGCACATTAAGGCCCTTTAGTAATCCTAACATCCAATTAGCTTTAAAAGTTGCTATATTTTATCCTTTCATCGGTTTATATATTTTTTATGATAAATTACATTATCCAAACAAAAGAGATCTGAGTGCAATTCAGCTAAGGAATTCAATTACAGTCATCCTGACACCACAATACTTTCAAACCAGGAATCATTTCTGTCAATTCCAATATTACCATTTGTGAAAGAGAAAAAAAACACATAATTTTTCTCATATAAAATTCCTTCACATAGGTATACTGACTTTCTGTAGAATTGTTTACATCAAATATGAATTTTGGTCTTCTTGAGCTTCTAAGAGCAGTGTCCCACTCATTAGATTTCTTAGGCACCATATATGGATCTATAATGTCAGTAATAAAACTACCATTCAGTATTTGTTTTTTGGTAGTATTTTAGAATATCTGTATTATTTAATATATAGAATATCTGTATTATTATATCATGACTGCAACAGTGACCTACACTGGATTCTACTGAGTCATTTACAGATAGCCCTCTTGAGCTTTACTGTATACAGTATAAAAAATTGCTGTCTGATTTTATTTGATGAACTATGGAGCCTGAGAATATTTTTTTACTTTCTGTTTAACATGCATGTAATAAGTGACAATTTCTCAGAGGGAATGCTGAATCACCTTTCCTCCAAAGGGTAGGTTTTCTGATCTTATTTATCCCTGTACATATCCCTTGGTATCTCAGCCAAGTATGGGCAGTACTGTCTCAGCATTAACAAATCTCTCTATCCAGATTACTTTGTGCTCCTTTTGCCTGCCTGTAAAGAAAGAACTAATAAGCATTTCTTCCAGAGTTAATTTTCCAAGTTTTACTTCTAAAATTTTAAAACCCAAAGAAGAAAGCTTGTTTTTTAATAGGTGCTGAGACATGTTGGTTCTGACTGTAATCTCTGTTCTTCTACTGGCACTGGTATTTTTGAGGTCCAAGATGGCCTTTCTGATGCAGAGGGCCATTGATTTTCTTTAGTGTTGTTTCATGAGTATTGTCTGTTACATATACTTGATAATTTATTTGATATTATTGATTTCTTTTCTGAGTAATATTTCTAGTGTTCTTATCCATACTTTTCTATTTTATTGGTAGAATAAAAGATTTTTTTTTAGTAGAAACCATTGACTTTATTTTCATAACTGTTTTTTTGCCCTTAGAGAGTTTGAAGTCCTCACCTATGTGGATGGATTTCAGGGACACTAGTTGATCACTTTTAGCATGTAGCACATGCTTCTCTAAGTTAACTGGATCTCCTTTGTTTTATTCCCTCTGTGCCATACTCCTGTTTTACTACTCCTCCTCAGCTTTCCCTTCAGTGTTTGCCAGCTTGCTTTTACTTTACATTTACATTTCCTGAACTACAGATCAAGGAGTTGTTTCAATGAAATGCCTTTTTTATTCTACAACTACCTACAGTGTATTCTTGTGTGCCTGCCTTTTTTGCATGTCTACCTCAGCATGTGGTTGTGCATGCTGTGTACTGCTGAATTAAGAGTAATAAGCATCTCTTGGGTATTTGGTCATAACGTGGCATCCTTGTTTCCCACAGGCAGACTGTATATTTATGGTCAGATTTTGTTTTCATTTTAATCACTTGGAAATTTATTTCACGTGCATAGTTTTACTGTGTTCTAGTTTTGGTTAAGCAACATGCATTTTGCAACACACTGGTCTCACTGCTGGATGATCTTTACAGTTACCTAGTTGACAGCAAAGACAGTGGGAGCACAGATGTGGTATTACTGTCAACTTAGCCTATCTAAAATCTTTGCACTGAAGCACCCGATTACACTTTGAAGCTTACATCACTACATGAATATTTTCAATAATAGCTAGACTGCAAAGGAATGTGGCCATACCATTTCCTTTCATCAATTTACCCTACCCTCATATGTTTATTGTGTATTATTTCCATGTCAGGGTCCAAAAGCCTAATCTTACATTGTTAAACAAATATTTCCTTTGAAGAAATTAATCAAGATTTCTTGCACATTTACATGGCAAGAGTGTATCCTATAGGGTAGAAAAGTCATTCCACCTTCTCATTAAAAATCATCAAAGCCTCACCTTTTGCTCATGGGGAAAAAAAAAAGACAAATAGAACATATACAGTTAAGAAATGTAGCAAATTATGGTGAAAGTCCATAGAGAAACCTACAGTCTGCTTGGTCCCAGAAAGGACTGGCAAATCAAATGCCCTTCATGTCTGCAGTGTTCTTCCAAGGTCTGTCTTATTTTCCATTGTCAAAGAAGTCAAAGAGCAGAGGTTGTTGTTATTACAAAGTGTGGTAAGAGAATTCCAAGATGTTGTCACTATGATGCTTGCCATTTAATATAAAAAAAACCAAACATTATGGAGATACTTGTATAAAAGTACATCAATATTGCAAGATGACGGAGTATATTACTGCAAAAAAACCCTGAAAGCATTAAGTGCCTAATTTTGAAAGTAAAAATGCCTCTGTTTTTTGTGGGTGGGCTGTAGCACTAGAGCTGAATACTTGCCCTCCGCTGTTCAGATAGCAAAATGCTTTAGGCTC